GTTATTCACTATTTTGCCCATAGAATCTTTCAGTATTAAAAATTGAGGCTTGAGGTTTTTAGTTCAATGAATTCAATTTTGGGAATGCTGATCGTGGTCTTCTCTTTGGCTCCCTTCCTCCGGGCCTTTGCACATTCCATTATAATACTTTACGTTGACTTCTGGGGCCACCCTTTGAAATCTTCTTTTCAGTTCCTTCACTTCGTCATTTCTTCCATTCCGTTAGCTACTCTATGTTCAAGAGCAAGTTTCAGAGTCTTTTCTGACATTCATTTTGGTCATTTGTTTCTTTCATGTTTTTAATGACATTTTCTTTTGTTCATGCATGATGTACTTGGTGTCATCCCATAATACATCAGGTCTGCAGTCAACAGCATTCAATGGATTCTTGAGATTGGCTCTAAATTCAGGTCGATGTAATCAAGATCATACTTTGGCTCTTGTGGACTCGTTACGATTTTCTTCAGCTGCAGCTTGAACTTGCATACGAGTAATTGATGATCTCTTTTGTAGTTGACCTTGTTCTGACTCATGATATAGAGCTTCTCCATCATCATTTTCCACAGATGCGGCTGATTTGATTTCTGGGTGTTCCATCTACTCAGGCTCACCTGTATTGTCCTCACTTGTGTTGTTGAGAAAGGTATTTGCTACAAAGTAGTCATTGATCTTGAAGAAAAAGACTCATAATTTACCATCATCTGTTCTTCTCTGTTCCCAATTTTTGCATTTTAATCATCAGTGACTATGAATGCATCTGGATTACATGTTTGAAGAATTTCAGAGTGGAGCAGTTGTTTTAAAAAAAAAAGCTACTTCTGCATCTTTGACATTAGTGTTTGTATACGGATAGTATCTTATCATTGATAGTGTTTTACTTCAAAAATTGTTCTTTTTAACAATGGATGTAACACCATTTTTCTTCAGTTTGACATTCCCAACATAGACCATCTAACTGACTCAAGATGGCCAATACCAGACCTTTTTCTTTAACTAATGCCTTGGCTATAAATCTTTTTTCATTCTATTTCATTTTTAATACTTCCAATATTCCTAAATCACACAACATACATTCCACGTTCCAGTTATTAATTTATTTTTGCAGTTGTTTCTTCTCACTTTGAATTGTACCATATCGGCAAATGAAGGCCCCCCAAAGCTTTACTACACTCACATTATTAAAGTTGGCTCTCCTTTGAGGGGGTATCATTTTCCCATTCACATTCTGAGGACCTTGTTACCCAAGTGGTTTATCTTCTGGCGCTGGATCAGGCAGCTTTCCATTGCTCCTCATAAGGTTTCACTGCATAATATCTTTAGAAGTAAATGGCTAGGTTCACTTTCCTAATCTGTCTTAGTTTGGAAGCTCTGCTGAAACCTATTCACCCTGGGTGATCCTGTTGGTGCTTGAAATACCAATGCCATAGCTTTCAGTAACACTCAATCCACCACAGTACAACAAAGGAACAGACTTGTGGTGACCTACACACTGTGTCATTTATCCTATATCCTTAGTAACTTGCACTATTGACAGTAGCAACAACACAGTAGTAAGAGCAGAAACAACAACATCACCATCCTGAATAATAGGGAAACAAAATAAAAGTGACCATTGACTGAGTTTGTGCTACATTGTGATCAGTTATTTGGGTATTTTATATGCATGGAAGATCCCTGTGGCAAGTGGTTAAAGGCTGGACTGCTACCCAAAAGGTGATTCAAATTCACCAGTCGCCCGGCTGCAGAAAGACGTGACAGACTACTCTTTTTTAAATTATTATTAATTAATTAATTTGTTTATTTATTTATTTATTTATTTTAAACATTTTATTAGGGGCTCATACAAATGTTATCCCAATCCATACACACATCAATTGTGTAAAGCACATTTGTACATTGTTTCTCAAAACATTTTCTCTCCATTTAAATCCCCGACATTATGTCCTCGACAGTCTACTCTTTTACAGCTTGCAAACCTGACAGCTTCTAGGGAAGTTTGACTTTGCCAAGAACTCCAAAATCAAACTCACTGCCAAATTGACTCCAGATTATCGTGACCCTGTAGGACAAATTAGAATTGCCCATGTGGGTTTCTGGAGTTGTAAATCTTTATTAGAGCAGAGAGCCTCATATTTTCCCTTCAGAGCAATAGGCGTGTTCAAACTGCTAACCTTTCAGTTAGCAGCCCAATGCCTAAACTATTAAGACACCAGGACTTCTTATTCTGCCCCTTAAGATGGATATAACATAAATTTCTTCATAGAATCAATATTTTATCCACATGAGCTAATGTCCTTCATCCTAGTTTTATAGATGGGGAAAATGAAGCGCAGAAAACTTGTTTGGAGTAAAACAGTTGGTAAATGGTGATGTGGGACGAAAAGCCGAGATCTGTTGTATTTCACAACTCTGCTTCAAACCACTTTGTTCCCCTGTTTTATTATAACCAGAACACGAGTCTGTGGTTGATTAAGCTATTCCAGTGGCAATATCATACAGTCTTTGGAATCCAACAGACCTTAGTTTGAATCTCATTTCAAACAGACAATCAACATGACCCCAGAAAGTTGCCTAAATCTCCACTGAGATGGAGTGTTAACAAAATCGGGATCATTAAAAAGTTGATGTGCCTAAGTTACAAATTTACTTCTCGAATTCACCTAGCATATTGTAGATACTCAATAAACATGGAAATGTAGCCTCAGAAAGCCTAGGACATAGCTCCCCCAGGGCCACAACAAGAGAAATCTCTGGGTCAAGGACCCCCATCCAGGCCCTCAGATTTCAAACTCAATGTTCTTTCCACTCTACCATACATTAAATGACTCCTTGTTCCATGAGTGCTCTGGATCAAATCCATCCTTTTATGTCTGAATGACATTCCAGGCAGGATTAGAAACATGTTGTATAGTGCACAGAAGAAAGTTATTATAACACCTGCACTGTTGAGATTATTGACACATGGTTTTAAATGGAAAACACATTAAGACACATCATCCCTAAATAACCACTGTTGTTGGGTATAAAGAAAATGCCAACTTATAGTGGGCCCATGAATCAGAATAGAACTGCCCCAGAGGTTGGGTGTAATTTTTATAAGAGCAGATTACCAAGCCTTTCTCCCATGGAGCTGCTGTATAGATTTGAACCACTGACCTTTTGTTTAGCAGCCAAGTGCTTAACCATTTGCACCCCCAAGATCCTGTACTTAACCCCTAAGATACAGCAACTACTGCTCTCTGACACAGGAATTCTATGTCTGGTAATTTAGTCTCAGGGAATGGAGGAAAACTATACATGATGATGTTTGTTGTGCTTAAAGAAGTCATGAGAAAGGGAAACATTCTAAGATAGGGAATTATTAGGTCATTTGGGGGAATACTCCCTCCAAGGAATATTGTGCATCATTATGGTGACTGTGAAGACTTGGCAGCTACAGGAAAGTCCCATGAGAAATCCTAGGAAGGGAAGCCAGCATGATGCAAAACTGCTTCTGTGCCAGTGGTCAACAGCCATAGTCCGAAAACAGGAAACTAACAAACAGGAAAAGAGCCCGGAAAACCTCTACGTGGCTGGAAAACACATGAATTTTTTTCTTCTTTCTTTTGCACCTTTTAGGCTATAATGGTGATTTTATCATGAAAACCTACAGTGACAGATTGCAATGAGGCATTTGATTCCAAATGGAATATATTAAATCTAGCTGATAACGATGGCCACCAGAGGAGCCAAGAAGCACATAGTTGAATGAAAGGACTTGAGGAAGATGCAGTGTCAACATGACCTTGACTCTTTTAATTCATCTTCCTGACTGATAAGGTTATGAAACCTTATTTCCAGACCAAATTTTGCTTCTGAGCAGTGGCCAAATGAAGCTCCCCAACATTGAGCCATACATCCCATTTTATCTGAGACATGCTGCTGCTGGGAACACCTCACATTGGGTGGAGGCTTTTCCCAGAAAGGAGCGGGGTACGCTGTAAAGGAGCTCACTGCCAAAACCAAACCCATTGCCACTGACTTGGTTCTGACTCATGGCCACCACATGTGGTCCAGAGCAGCAGTGCTGCATGAGATTCTCATGACTGTAACCTTTACACAACACATCATCAGGGTTTCTTCTGCAGTGTGGGTTCAAACCACCAACCTTTAGGTTAATAGTCCAGCCCGAATGCAAATCCTTTCTTTGGAGGATCTACTGCCTTGTCACAGAAGAGATGAGCCCTTAGAGACTATTGGATCGCTACACACACAAAAAACATCAAATCTTTGCTCAGCAACCCTTGCATCCCAGAAAGTAGCTTCTAATGGAAGATGGCGTCCACATTCTTTTTTGTTGTTGATGTTTTTAAGTTTATTTTAAAATGATTACTCATTGAAGGTTAATCAGAGGTTATTTTGCTTCCCTTCTTACTGATTGTGTTTTTCTTTAAATAATCCAATTTTACAACACTCACGTGGTACTCACATTAAAGCTCTGATTTGCCATATTGAAAGACTATGGGAAAAACATTGAACAATGTGGGAAGGATAAAACAAAAAGGTAAAATGAATATAAAGAGTAACTGTACCCAAAATAACTAGTCAACATTTGAACATTTCAAGAAGTAACATATGAATAAGACTGAAGGGAAAAATCCAAACTGCACTCAAGGCATTAGGCAAAAATAAGCCTCCAGGAATTAATGGAAAACCTATTGAAATATTTCAACAAGTTCACGCAGCATGAGAAGCACTCATTAGTTTATGTCAAGAAATTAGGAAGACAAATTCCTGACCAACTGACTGGAAGAGATGCATATTGGTACCCATTCTAAAGAAAGATGACCCAACAGAATGATCATATTATAGAACAATACGAGTGATATCACTTGCAAATAAAACTTTGCTGAAGATCATTCAATAATATTTTCAGCAATACAGTACATTGACAGGGAACTTCCAGGTTCAAACTAGTATTAAAAGAGAATGTAGAACAAGGGCGGTGTCCACGTTCTTACCTGCATGTCTCAGACGCTCTCGCACGACGTCCAATCCATTATGCACTACTTCTTCGATGCGTTCCAGGGGCTCTGTGAAGGCGGAGTTGTTCATCATTAGGACGCTGATCTCATAGCCACCCTTGTCGCAGTTCCGAATCACCTGCGACGACACGAACACCAGCCGGGGCTGGAGGAGGAGGTACCACAAAGCCAAGTCCCACAGCGGCGTCTTCATGACTTCTCTCATCGCAGACTCATCCTCCGGGAGCTCACTCTCTTTGCACTGGGCTTCCAAACTGGCAGGGACTCCAGCGGGACCGTCTCTTGATCCACTCTTCCCCACGTTCCTTTCTGGTCATGCCCACTCTCACGTGACCCATGCAATACAGCCGCCTGCCAGCAATTAGCAGCTACATTATGGTAGGAGAGAAACCAAAGTTCAACTGGTGTGTTTGCTCACAGAAAGGTCAGAGCTGTAAAACAGGGCGATTACCCAGGGCCTCACCCAATAAAAATACATCAATTTGGGACACGTCCCTGAGAAGAGGGAAAGAGGAACTGGGCAGGATCTATCATGAACATAAAAAGCTTTGGAAGATGGAAAATAAAGGCCAAAGGGCTAGAGAAAGCACAACTATGATGGACCATTAGTGCTTATTTGTTCCCGGTTCAAGGAAATGGAGTCCTTATCCAAGGAAAGCCTGTGTTTTCGTTCATCCAAACAAAACGTCGTTGAGACTGGCTGTGGGTCGGGCCTTGGCGAGACACATCGTTTCTAATGGGGAAGGCAATGTTAAGCAGATAAGTGTAAATAGATAAATCGCCCAACAATGAAATAAAGTGCGGAAAAAGCCAAAACCAAGTCGGCTGCCATCAAGTCGATTCTGAGGCAGAGCCACCTTATTGGAAAGGCGTGAACTGCCCCCCAGGGTTTTCCCAGCTGTAATCTTTATGGAAGAAGACAGCCACATCTTTTCCTGCAAAGCACCAGTCAGCCACTGAGCCCCTGGGGCCTGTCTGCATGAGCTGGAAAGCTCCCGGAGGACTGTCACTGTGCTTCAGTGCCACCTAGTCCCTTTCAACTCATGGTGACTCCATGCAGATGAAGTGGAACCACCGCAGATGGTTTTCTGGGCTGTACGGCTGTGATCTTTTATGGCAGCACATCCCCAGGTCTCTCCTGCAGAGCTACTGCTAACCTAGTAATTGGAGGCAAGGGCCAAGCCGTTCTGCCAGCAGGGCTACTCATGTTTGATTAACATAACCTTTTCCAGAGCCTAAGAGAAGATCCCTGAGAAAGTGTCCTTATCTGCTTTCATGGCCTAAAATGCACCCTAAAGGATAAGAGAAAGAGAGGGAGGTTGTGTCAGGGAGGGGGCAGCTTGTTCAAAGGCCCACAAGCAGGCAGTAACATGGCATGGTTCAGCAGCTGCAAGCGATGCAGCGTGGTTGGAGTAGAAAGGGCTAGGAGTCAGTCAAGTGCCAGTCATTAAAGCCTTGGGAATTTATTCTAAAAAACAGTCATGATGTGATGGATTGTCTGAAGACCATGGAACAGTCATGATTTGATGGATTGTCTGAAGACCATTCAGCTTTCTGTGGAAGGAAGGCCCTGCAGAGAGACAGGAGGGGGTGGAGGGAGAGTGTTAGGAAATGTTTTTGTGCTCCCAGTGAGAGTTAAAGGAGGTCTGTCACTGTTAGTATGGGTGCTTCTTTTTAATTCAGTCTGGAATTCACAAGTATGGAAGAAAGGGGTGTCAGTGGCATGGATGTGGAAGGTCATTTGCAGGGTGCTCTCAATGTAGATATGAAGACAAAAGGTAGATGTGGCTCGGAGATCTTCTAATTAGAGCATACAAAAAGGACGAAGCATTTGAAATGTGAGGTACCAAGATAACAGGTTCTGCTGGGAGAATTTCAAGGGCCGAAAGCAAATTGGGGACCACTTAAACTGGCATCTTTGAGAGATGTACTCTCCAATACAAGTCAAGATCCTCTAAAGATAGAAGAAGAAAAAATGGGAGGGAGGGGAATTACTCCACAGGTGAAAAGTCACCGGTAGTCTCTAGCAGGAGCCCCTGGGGAGTTCAAGTGATTAGCATGCTTGGCTCCTAACCTAAGGCTGATGGTTACATCCACCCGAGGTGCCTCAGGAAAATGGCTGGTCCAGCTATTTCTGCAAACTCATGCCTTGAAAACCGATGGGCCATAGTTTGATTCTGATACATAAGGCATCACTAGGCATTCCAGTTGATGGGAGGACAACAGGGTTTCTAGTGATGCTGTTTCTGGCATCCCTCTGAGCCTCTACTGTATGCTGCCTACTATCCTGCCTGCCTCACCCTTGTGCCTCTAGGATCCTGCCCATTGAAACTCTGCACACCACAGCAGTCTGCACTTCTTTGTCTCCTCTTGGTGGAGATGCAAATGAGCTTTTCAAACAGAATTTTTGTCAAAGAAGTAAAGTAATCAAAATATGAAAATGTTGTACTGAACACAAAGGTAGAGGACCATATCTGAATTGAGGGGATCTGAATAGTGTAAAGTATTTCTTAACTGATGATTTAGTAGTCCCACCAGATTAACTAAAATACCCACTGAATGCTGATGGAAAAGGACATGTGTGCGTCTACTGGCTCTATTTAATTGTATGCCAACCAGGAGTCAGGTACACTGATGCCCCAAATGTCCAATCTTATCACTTAAATTATGTCATGAATTAAATGTGATCTGAAAAAATTCATATGTAAGCTGATAAAATACATTTGAAATCGTAAGCAAAGGTACACCACTTTAAAAATTGCTGTGGCAAGATTGCTTCAAAAGTTTGGAAAACGATAGTCCAAAAACCTATAAACATTTTTGCCCTTAGAGTGCTTATCAATAATCTTAAAGCAGCAAACTAAATAGAGGCATCAGATGCTTCGTAAGAATTGATTCAATGCAGCACACCAGCCTGTGTGATCATGAGATGTCAAAGGGATGAGGTATCCGGCATCAAAGAACAAAAAATCATATCATTGTGAATGACGTGGAGTGTGGAGTAGGGACCCAATGCCCATCTGTAGGCAACTGGACATCCCCTTACAGAGGGTTGCAGGGAGCAGATAAGCCAGTCAGGGTGCAGTGTAGCAACGATGAAATATACAATTTTCCTCTAGTTCCTAAAAATGCTTTCTTCCCCCACACTATCATGATCCCAATTCTATCTTACAATTCTGGCTAGACCAGAGGATGCACACTGGTACAGATAGGAAATGGAAACACAGGGAATCCAGGACAGATGATTCCTTCAGGACCAGTGCTGAGAGTGGCGATACCGGGAAGGTAGAGGGAAGGTGGGGTAACCGATTACAAGGATCTACATATAACCTCCTCATTGGGGGACGGACAACAGAAAAGTGGGTGAAGGGAGATGTCGGACAGTGTAAGATATGACAAAATAATAATAATTTATAAATTATCAGTGGTTCATGAAGAAGGAGGGAGTGGAGAGGGAAGGGGGGAAATGAGGAGCTGATGCCAGGGGCTCACATGGAAAGCAGATGTTTTGAGAATGATAAGGGTAATGAATGTACAAATGTGCTTTATACAATTGATGTATGTATAGATTGCGATAAGAGTTATGAGTCCCCAGTAAAATTATTTTTAATAAAAGGAAGAATTGCTTCAGCGCTCCAGTCAGGAGGCTCATGTTCAAAGAAATTTCCTTGGCCTGACGTCAATTTGTTGGTAAATAAATTACTTTACATGTCATTAAAATAAACTAAGACAAACTATGTTAATATAAATATGTACTTTTTAAGATAATTCATGCTTTAATTGACATTTTTCTCTTGTGAAGTGATTATTTACTGGTTCTAGTCAGATGGGGTAATAGGATGTCAGTTTGATGGTTGTTTATAGTTTGTGTGTTTGTCTTAAATTTGGTCTGGTAACTTAAAGTCTGTGGGCTTTTGCTAAGCACTCACCTGTGTTTGGATATGCAAACATATGCAACAGTTAGGCGTAGAGAAATGTAAATTGCTGCATATGGTAAAATGAGAAATTGGTTAGGCTTCCAGGACAAATCCTGGAGCCAGTGGGTGAGGGTTGAGATGAGAAGAGGAAGAAGAGCCAATATCCAGGCGCTGGCCTGACAGCTTAGAAACCGAGAGAGGAATGGCCAGTGGAAGTGGCCTAGTAGGATGGTAGCTAAGCTGGGTGAAGCTATTTAGCACAAAGGTACCTAAAATAAATATGTAATTGCTTGCATTTTCTTAAGGGAAGGAGCCTTGGTGGCAATGATAAGCGCGCTGCTGTTCACCATAAGATTAACCATTCTAACCCATCAGTAACTCTGAGGAAGAAAATACCTGGTGATTTGTTCCCATAAAGATTGTAGCCTAGAAACCCCATGGGGCAGTTCTATTCGGTCATGTAAGGTTGCTATGTGTAGGCATCGACTCACAGCATACAGCAACATAGAACTTCACTGCATTCATACAAACAGGGATTTACTGAAAACACTCTGTATGACAAGCATTGTTCTTAGCACAAATGAACAAAATTTCCCCCTTTCCCATCAAAATTGCACTGTAATGGAACTTAATACTGATGAAGCGGGCAAACTCTTGCTAATTGCCAGTTGAGTCTGCACCTCTTATGACCTACCTGTGAGAAGGCACTGGGTCTGTATCTAGACTGTGGGGTAGAACAGGGCAAGATAACCAGATGATGAGCAGAGTGGGGAGACTGAAGTCAGACTAACCCACCAATTTCAGGGACTTGATGCAATACTGGGTGGAACTTTCTGCAAGGATGGGTTGAGTGCAAGTTTCCAGATAACCTTTATCTAGATCACAAGAACAAGGCTATCTTGTTGACCATGCGCCACTGTTGTCAACCAGTGCTAAGTAACTAAACTCTAGTGTCAGTGTCTCTGGGGCTTCACAATGACACATTGTGTTGTCCTTTTGTACCTGTATCCTGGATTCTTCCCTCCTCCCAAGAGAAAGTCTTTTTCAGCTCTAAACAATTGCCTCATCTCCCTCCTTCCTGAGCCCATTTTATACACTCTTTCTAGTTGCTCAGGGAAGACTGGAGTAGATGAGTGTTACACTTGCCGGGGTGGCTGAAAAATGTGTTAACATTTCCTGATGACTCTTGGATTTATTTTTCTGTCCAGGGAGCTATGTTTACATAGTTGAGGAAGTAAGTGTTTGACATAGTAGTAATAAAGTTCTCTGCACTTTG